ACAAATTTCGAACGTCGATCGTAGTGTCAGTAGTTTCAGTAGTAGCGCCATGATATTTGGCATACGCAAGTAGTTTAGTCTTGAATTGGTCCCGGGATACTCAAGACTCGCACCTTTCGTAATTCGTCAAGTCAGTAAACGGTTACATATGTAATTCAAGTGAAGATTCGACATTGATCTTATAATTAGTCTTGACAGGAAGATTGACAATTTGGTCTAGCCACGAAGAGATACCAGATTTCTATCTTGATGCATTAATCTTTTATTCACATGAATTTAGAATTTCAAATTTCTGTTACTACTAAACTTAGCTTCTTTTATTTGAATAAATAANCATGTAATCAGCATTCAGTAAATTGTATCATTGAACAAGAAAAAGAGAGACTGTGCAAGAACCAAATCCCACAGTATCGAATGACACCTGAACGACCGTGAACCCAGCGTGGCTGAACCATTTCTTGTGAGTTAGAGCTCAAAGTATAAATCTGGAGTTAATCCTTCGGGTATTGAACCAGGACCGCTGTTGTAAATCAGCTTCAAGCATGCCCAAGTGTGTCGTGTATCATTAGACGTGTCGTATTTAGCTAAACCGCCGACGCGGGATTGCCTTCGGACAAAGATCCTTCGTGGAAACGGTCACGGCGGTCCGTTTCTATGAAAACGTTACTCGCTGAAACTGACGTTTGTGAAATCTCGCGAATTTCACGTGTCAGGGCAGTCCTGACGCGTTCGTGGAACTCGCTTTCTCTCGCGAAACGTTAAGGGAAATCGACCATTTTCCCAAAAGCTGGACAGCGTGTTTCTAATGATTCTCTGATGAAATAATAATTAACGACGTCCGTAGAACTATTATCCACTAAATGGCAGTTACAGTTGAGCAGAATTATTAAATCATAGTAGTATCCATTTATCAAATAAGGAGAAATCACCAACTTCCGAGAAGTTAATTTGATAAATGAGCAGTTAAATAAAATGTAATATAAATACTGAATGTTTTATAATTCCTTTAAATAATAGTAGCGATTATTTATATTTTAGTTTGTATTTTTGTATCAGAGATTAATTTTAAAAAATTTTCTACAGACGCCTAAATTAGTAAATAATGTAAACGATGATGCGATCGTAATTATCAGCTGTGATTAATTGTCAAAAAGTCTGGGTGGCTGGGGTGGTAAGACCGTGGTCAGCAATTTCTGTGCTAGGTTCCTTGTAAAGTCGCTTGTTAAACCGAGCTCACGAATCGATTCAGCAGCTGAGGCAGCCGAAGACGATCCGATTTTAATACGATGACAGTAGGAAGGACGTTAATTAAGGAGAAATTACCGGTAGCTTCTTCTTTCGATTTCCTACCTTGAAACTGATCTTAACTTGATCCTTCTTCGGATTTCTTATTGGATCGCGCTTAATTCTTAGGTATCCTTCCAATATATAGAGCTAAGTACACCTTTAATCTCTGTTCAAATTTAATTCGTGGAAATAATTAACATTCTTACTTTTCTTTTGTAACTTCTAAATCAGATCAGAACAAAATTGTCGAAGATAATTACTACATTTTTTAAGTACGAGATTACAGAAATGAATGGAATACAATTTATGGAATTTATTTCACAATTCCAGTTTCAGTACTACTTTTGTAACTTCTGCTTAACAGTATGCTTCATCGATTTAGATGATACTTAAATGTGTTTTGAAGAATAGAAACTGTTTTAGAATTCACAAACTATAGAACAGAATTAAAAGCATACGAAGCTACTTAACATAGGAAATGAGAAAAGCTTATTCGAACGCGACACGATTTCTCCTGGCGTAAAAATTTTGGCTGAACAGAAAGGATTTGTTGAGATAAGATGATTGGAAAACCGCGCGACGACGACGCGAGCTCGCCTCGGCGAGAATTTGGCTCGTCGAACAGAACAGAAAAGAGAGGACAGTTGAGAAACAAAAGCAGAGGGCGGCAACAAGACGACGTTAAAACGGCAAGCGCAATGTAACACATTCGCAGGTAGTGTAATAATTTTAGATATACGGTTCCGACAAGAAAAGAAGGGGTTGGTCGTTTCTCTGTTTCGAGATTGGACGGAAAGCCTGATTGATTCGTTGGTCTGTTCGCTGCGCCACGGCTCACGCTAAAGGCAAGACACAATCAAACTGACACAAAAAAAAGGGACTTTGAAAACTTGTACACGTGGAAAACACAAGTAACCGAGACGTGTTCGTTGGGATAGAACGAGATAAAGGTGAAAACGTGTGACAGTTACGTTCGAGCAGATCCATGGTTATTACAGATCCTTCGAAACCCTTCCGTTGTCTCGTTTCGCAAATTATCTACGTCATGTCATCACTTCCATAACCCATTACGTACGAAACATTGCATAGTTTTGCCTTGTCTCTGTTTAATTAACGTTCAGATTACAATTAAATTCTGATCGGTGTGAGAGTCTCGCTTAGTCTTGTCACATGTGTTTTGTTCATTGAATCGCTTCATCATCTTCCAGTGTAATGATCATGATAATGAGACTTGTACGTAATGTGTTAATTCTGTGGTTAACTGAGGGCAACTACCGGCGTAACTGTTTCACTCGTTGACAATTAAATAAACAGGGGCCACTCTTCGGAAATCGTGAATTTTCCCTTTTGTTAGAACAACGGTCATTCGCGTAACCATGCAGACGTCGAGAGCAGAAATAACAGAACTCACTGAGCAACATTAGTGTGTGTCGTGTTACACCAAGATCCGATCGAACCGACTTGGAGAACGCTTCCTCGACCCATTTACGTACGTATGTATCCGGTTATGTACGTGTATCGCAGGAGAGCCACGATCTGAATTCCCATCGTGCGTAGCGGATACGATTCTCTCTCATCGACCTAGACCTATCCGAGACAATCGGCTCAGGTACAACACGGAGACACGAGCCGACGCACGCACGCACGTACGTTCTATGCACACACATAACACGCGTGGATCACGGAATATCGAGCCAGGAGAGACCTCCGCTTAACGAGGAACCACTTACTTACCTATACCTGAAAAACCCCCGCGAGAGTGCCTATCACTCAAGAAAACCTCGACTACACGATCTGCTTTCGTCTGTGTAAATCTGTGTGTCCGTGTGTAGATATCTGTTTTTTACTTCACGTGCCGCTTGTAAAATTTAATTTCTGTATACGTCGACAACCAGGGAAAATAAATGGAAGAAGGAGAGGCAGAAATAGGATCAGATCCAGTGGCGATGGGGCTTCGGATACTATTCTGAGTTATGAGAAATAATTGAAGAAGCACCTTTCCTGTTGCCTTGTCTTATTCCAGATTGGGAAATCGCTTGGAAATCTGGGCTGTTCGATCGCCTTCGAGCACAAGTCTTGAAAGTTTCCGAGTTTCCGTGGAAAGTGATTATAACGCGTTTATTATATTTAAGATAGATCTACAGAATTTTCTTCAGTATTTGGTGAAACGGTTTATTACTGGAGGTAGTAATTTATCTTTACTCAAAAACTGTGTACTTTTATGTTTGTTCATGAATAAAGTGCACATCATTTATGAAATCTGTAATGTTCTCGGTAAATGTATATTTTATGTACAAACTGGAAAGAGTAAAGATTTTAAATAAATCAAGAAGTTACTCTGTTTTTATTTCACTTGCATCAACATCAATTTCCAACTCTTCCAATCTCAATATCTTAAAAACTTTCCATATCAGTCCTCCCATAACTTTCCAAAAATATATTCCTCTTCCATGTTATTCATCTCGAACGATCAAATCTACTCCATCTGTTTCGATTACGAAACTTGTCAATATTAAAAATTGCTAAAACGATATGAGAATTAAAAAAAAAATACACCCATCGCCACGAGTACCGAATAGTGTACATAAATCTGTCAGTTTACAAAAATTGTCATAATTGTGTTAAAAAAATAGAGGAAGACAGAGAAAGAATTTTTTAGAGAAATTCACTGTAAAAAAGTTGGGACATGACTAAAGTAAAGAGTCGCTGTCAACTGGCACGTCTGTGTATCGAGCAAACGGGAAGCAGAGATGCGTATGTAAATAGACTCTGTAAATATGTATACGTAGCTAAGTGTATGTGTATGGTGTATACAACTAAATTTCGGCTTCCGAGGGAAATTCGCAGCAGCGCTGGAAAAGAGATGCGTGGTCGGTGTCTCTCGCATCGCCTAACGAGAGAGCCTGGACACACTTTTCTGTCCGACGAACATTCTATCCCGGTCGGAAACCGACACGCGAAGCGAGATTCGCTGCGAAACGAGACGACAGCTAAACCTTGACTAGAGAAAAGTTCGTAGGACTGTCCGTGAAAAAAGAAAAAAAAAATATATATATATATATAAAATGACGAAGAGTAAATCCACCACTGGCGTGAGAGGTTCTCTCGTCTTCTTGCGACTCGATCGGTCGCACCTGTTCCGTTCCTTGTTCTTTATTCTTTCATATTTCCTTTCACGTTCTTTATTATCAAACGTATACGCATAAGAAGAATAGCTGTATCGGCAAGCCTCGTGACACACACAAGGCGGATCGGAGGGACTTTTATCGGGCTCCTTTCTTTTATTTTTTACCTCCAGTTTCTCTCTTTTTAATATAATTCATCGCTTGATGAACACGCGCTATGTTAACTTGATTTTATTCACACGTTTCCTTCGCGACTTCGAACTCGCGGCGAAGATGCAGACAGTTCCAAAAACTGACCGTGGTGTACAATTTGAAAGTAATGTGTAATAAAAATCGCCGGGGGGCCTCGAGCCACGGACTCCCCCCCGTATAATTAGTCAGAGGAAAAAGAAACATTGCAATGGAAACGGCGACGCAAAGCTGTACAGACAGACAGCACGGCCATGTAAAGAGACTCAAGGTATAATATATATATAACAAAATATATATAATATATATATATAAAGAGAGAGAGAGGCAGTCAGTCACTTTTTGAAACTGACAAAAAAAAAAAGACGACGAGACGCTTGGTTTTCTTTTCAAGTCAAACTTTTTATACAAGGATCACACGAGCTGTGGGTATATTATATATGAGGTGTATATTATATATATATGTATGTTTATATACATATATATACTATAATATGTATAATATATATATATAAAATAGGTATCAAATGAAACGGTGCTCTTTAGTAAAATATAAAGCGGTAACGGGTAAACACTCACATAGACCTCTTCCCATTGCGAGACATACCGCACCAGTCTTGACAACCGTAGTAACCTAACGAGCGACAGCAGCTTCGCAAGCCTGAGGATCCTGAGAGCACGGCCAGCATGCAGGATCTGGAAGGACTCGCTAAAGTCCTGAAACTGATAGGAATAATTCAGATAATTATTCTCATGTCAACATTTCGATCTAATGTATGTAGGCAACGAAACCATTATTAATGTAGATAATACATTATAAGTTCATCATTTATTACGCTGCTTCTAGATACGAACGCGATGCAAGAAATTTTAATTAAACTCATCTCATGCAGGATACGTTCTATGAAGTACAAACATAACAGGCAAAAAATTTAATTATTTCATATGTCTGTACTCAGAAGTTCCGTAAATTTTAACTCTGTTTACTAAGGGTTCTTGGTAAAACATTCCGGTAGCTGGAAACAAGAAATAAGTATCGCGTAAAGAATCTTTTATGCGGGGAGCCTAGTAAACAGATTAATTACACAAATCGAGTTCGCGGGAAAAGTAAAACGCAGCGTATGCAACGACTTTAAAGTGAGAAGCAGCAAGTTGCTCTCGGCGCAGCCGTGAATATAATTAATATGCACTTACTTGATTAAATATGAGGAAAATGTAGTCTAGTGGTATGGAGGAAATGAGGTCGAGAAAGAACCAAGTCCTGAGGTAGTGTTTCGCGATTAACTTCGGGTCCAGGATCACTTGTTCGGCGTTGTCCTGTTGCATTATACCTGGAAACAGAAACGCGAACAAAGTTCTATAAATACTCTCCACTTTTATGTTTTCAAATATCAAATTTTTATTCCAATTAATTTCATTCACTGCGTAAAACCACAATCAGCATTGTACGTTGATTAATTAGAGATTTGATTTCAATTCGCGAAGTTATTAATGAAATTGTATAAAAATCGTAATCGTATTTTTATCGGACAGTTTTGAAACTATACCCACTTCAACATTTTCCAATAAATATACGCGCGAGGCACAAAGCCTATGCAATTTCGAGTGACTGCAAGTGGGCGACGCACACTAGCAGCAGCAGCATTCATTCAAAGTCTACGTGCATACGTCACGAAACGTTTGAATGGGGAAATAATCAAATCCAGCCTGCCAGTCTCGTTTCTATCAACATCAACGGCACTTCGTCTTTCCCGGAAACGTTGCCTCATTAGCATCCAAATATTTCAAAGCCGCGATTCGAGCGGCTCGTCCGCCTGGACGCCCGCTGACGCGCTGTGTAGGCGTCGCGTCAGTATGTATGCGGCGCACGGAACGTAATATTGGTCGCCAGGCCGGGCCGGGCCGGGCCGATAATCTGGATCAAGAATTCGCAACAATCGCGAATCGACGCGTTCCACGTACACTGGTACACGGTTTAACGCGTACAATGGCTTTCATCGGGCGCCACGGCACGTGACCCAATTTAAACGCCCGTTTCTGGGACCAGGGCTCGAACTCGAAAGCGCTACAAATTAATCCCCCGCCCGGCGAATCGTCTGGGTCTGAACACCCCGAGTGTTGAGCAATGTTATTATCGCACAGGAAATGCTCAGCTAGAAGCCAACCGTACGCGTATATCTTCATCTCTAGATTTAATAATTTAATTTAGAACACGATGCAGCTGAGAATCTTCCCACAGATACATATGTACGTATCTGCTCTCTCTTAGAGGATTAATTGTATTTCTTGTCGGGTATTTCATTTTGTACGATTAGAATGTAGATTCTATACATTTCTGCAGATATTATAAACGCTGCTCGTAATGTATAATAAAACTAATCAGAATATCAATTTTTGTCCATTGATAAAATAAATGTTAGTCTGAAACACATTTTTTTAAACCTATACTATAATGTTCTGTCATAAAAAAACCGATGTGTAATGATTGCACTTGTGCGTATAATCTTCATTTTAGCATCTAATAAATATCGGAAAGTGAATTCATTCATTTCGGTAAAGAACGATTTCCTTTTAGAGAATTATCTCTTTAAGGTAAGGTACTCTTTATTCAAACAAGCTTTGACGAAAAGGAAATTGAATCCGCCTCGCCGGTTCCGGATCGGAACGTAACTTCATAAAAACGTAATCGACTCGCGCGTGAAAGCCGCTATTTTCCGGTTTTTTCGTGCTTCTGTGTCCGTTCTCTTTTCATCGCTCTCAACGACTTTTGCGGCCACCTCTTTAATGTCAACAGTTACAAGTCCCACCTTTTCAAAATTCGCGAGACAAGGACATTTAACGCTATCTCGAAAGAGCGCACCGCGGTTCAAAGATTTTAGCCCCGAGGGGACATTATTAAACTTATTAAAATCGTCAAAGATTTCTACACATTCTTTAAATACGCTGTTACTTTAGTATATCAAGTCCTCGCGAAAATGCGAGTGTTGGGATATAGTTAAACGAATCGTCGGTAGTTTCGAGGCGGAGATTTGGGCTGGCCTGATGAGAGAGTGGTATGGAAAAATGAAGGAAAGAACGAGGTCGACTCATTCTTCCCCCAATATCCTTTTTACCGATGTGCACGCGACAATGCAAACTTTGCATCGCTCCTGGCTTCTTCTATCCGCGGACGCGAGGCTACCATTAGTTCCGACGACGTCGACGCGATCGTCCGACGGATTGCCAGCCTTTTTCGCCGCGTCTTTTTATACCCACGGATCGAATAACTTTGAGGCTGAATGGATCCCCCGTCGATTAGAGTTTGAAAAACGAACGCAGTTCCATTGAAAACTTTTTCCAGATGGAACTAAATATTCTTTCCTAAACAGTTTCTCCATTGCACCTGCACCTTCAGCTATTATTTTTCTTTGTCGGTATATGAAAGAAATTAAAAAGTTGGACATATCTCACATCTTATATTTTACGTTCTTTAATACGCAATACTTATTGTGGATCTAAGTAGTAAATAATTTTGGTGGTTTGTGTATTACTGTTTCGTAAACTTACCTGTCCTGAAGTTGACGACGATGTCTATGAGGAATATCGTGTCGGAAAGGCAGTTGAAGGCTATCCACCTAGTGCTTAGGTCGTCATTGAAAAAACTAATGGCGACTGGCAGAATTATCAGATTAGCTACCAGTAGGAGGAGCATGCAGAGGTCCCAGTAGAATCTGTAATCAAACGAAAAAAAAACAATATAGTTAATTTCTGCTGAATATTTCAGATACTCATTAAAACTCTGATAAATGAAAAACCAAAATAAAAAAAAAAAAGGATAAAGTATTGTCATTCTTTACATGTGAGAAAAAGAAGATGAAAGTGCTGGTACGATATTTAGAAAACAAGTAGTATATCCCATATTGGTCAGACATGGCTTCGATATTAATTGTTTGTACAAGTTGTTTGAAATAAAACATTTCTTGGTTTCAAACCGAGAAAATGGGAGGTTCTTGTTTTCCCAGTTCCAGACCAACCACTTTCCTTTTTTAACCCACGAAATAAATCAGAACCGAGTGCATTTTGCATTTGAAATTTGCATCCCAGCCCCAGTACGTAACCTACTTAAGTACAAAAGGGCGCGGCCTTCTTTACACCAGTCGCTCCTCGGATTGTCTTTACGGGCCAAGTTTTACGCAATTACCAAGACTTAAGCCAACGTTTTAAACGCGGGCGTGGATCGTCCGACTCGAAAACAGCGGCTAGAAATTTTATTTTTTTCTCCACTCTATTTACCTCGTCGAGGGTTCGCGTTCTTAAATTCTTTTTACCTTTCGTTTCACGGTTAATGAGCGCGTAAAGGATTGAAATGGCACGCAGTATTGTTTTTAAATCTACGTACACGAAGAGCATCCGTTATTTAAAATTTAAAGTTCGCTCAAGATTTATGTTCCTATTCAAAATACATACATAATATTATAATGTGTGTTTGTGTAGTGTGTTGCTTATTTCAATTCCAAATGCCTTGCATTCATAACTTGGAAATCGGACATT